CTGTCCACTCCACCACTGTCTGGTGTGTGGTGAGCGCACTGGCGCCATTAATCTGTGGCGTTATTCCAAGTGGATGCTGCACACTGGTGGTGATGTGGACAGACAACCCCCCTCCCCTAATGATTGTGAAGTGCTTTAGGTGTATGGCCATACACGATAAAATGCGCTATATAAATACACATTACACTGAACAAAGATCCAGGTTGCATTATTTAGGATAATTGTGGAGTTGATTGAATGTATTTAATGCTAAATGATATAAGTATGATGTGGTTTCGTCATCATTCCCTCAAGCCATTCAGGCTGTTTACATTTGTAATCCCAAATACAAAAAGGAAGTAGTGCGAGTCGCACTTTTTCACCTTTTTGACACGAAGTGAACGCCTCGATAAACAACAATTCAAGAGTTCACACTTCCAATTACTCATGATTGATAATAAAGCATGTTTGGCATGCTGTTCTGGAAGCTGTCCTCGAGCCTAGGGCTTCCTCCCATTGCAGGGCGAGAGTGGAGTTTGAGCTTTGGTAGATCTTGAAACTCCCCAGCTGAAGTAGCTAATGAACAAATAGTGATTGCTCTTAAGGGATTACTACTTACTAGGGGCACGCCTATGGTGCAGATTTGGAGTAGTCAATTAACTTAAGTTGCATGTTTTTGGACAGTGGTAGGAAACCTGGGGACCCAGGGGAAACCCACTCGAGCACGGGGAGAACATGTAAACTTCACACAGAAACGTCAGCTTAAAAACGTGCACTTATTTATTTAATTTTCAGATGTGATGGTGAAGGAGGAGAGTGAAAAACTGAATGAAGATGAGGAGAAACATCAAGAAAAACCCCAATCAGAGACTGAAAGTATTTCAGTGAAAGGAACAGCAGTAAATAGTCTCACCTGCACTCAGTGTGGAAAGAGTTTCAGCTGCAAAAGCATTCTCAATAATCACATGAGGATCCACACTGGAGAGAAACCTTACCAGTGTTCACACTGCAACAAGAGATTTGGTTCTTCACAAAACCTGAAAACACACACGAGGACTCACACTGGAGAGAAACCTTACAAGTGTTCATACTGCGGCAAGAGATTCAGTCATTCAGGAGTCCTAAAAACACACGTGAGGATTCACACTGGAGAGAAACCGTATCACTGCACTGCTTGTGGGACGAGCTTCACATATTTTTCTACTCTACAATTACACACAAAAAACTTTCACAGTAAGTAGATCATCTAAAGGTCTATTTTGCACTATTATGATAATCGTGGAGTTGATAGAACGAATTAAAAATGTGCTAAATGATATAAGTATGATGTGGTTTCTTCATCATTCCCTCAAGCCATTCAGGCTGTTCACATATTGCATCTTTTGCAAACGCAAGTTAAAGGGCCATGAAACCCCCTCGTTTCAGCAGGGTGTTTCTCTCTACTTTGGAAAAAGTCAAAAAAGTGGGCGTGTCCAGCTCTGTTTAGGGCGGAGTATCGGAGGAAGAAAAGAGGCTTGGTGTGGGAGTGTCTATTTGGGCGCGCTGAATTTCAGAGTCAAAACACACACACACACACACACACACACAAGGGACAAAGTGACTGTGTTTACATGGACATCTGTAGTCGAATTATTTGCCAAATTATTAAATGGTGGACTTTAACTGCAGTTTGGCTCTTTCATTCAGGGAATTCATTCATGTCCCTCCCGACAAACGAGATATTTGATTCGAGGATCTGCTCTAAGCGTGTATTTTTCATGCAATGTTTGATACCGCACGGCGAATAAGAGAAAAAAAAGTCAGCATTTCCCGGAAACTTAGATGCACTCGGCAGGTAGCGTCACAAAGCCGCGTGTGTTATTCCGGTCACAAAATCCTACACGAGGTTAAAGTTTGGTTGTAGTGCTAACTTGTTTACACTCGGTGCAATAGTTTGTTCGATACGAATAAAATACGAACTGAATAAGCAAAGAGCACTGGTCGCTCACTTACCAAATCTGTAGAGACAGGACAATCACCAGCAACTAGAGCCGCGTCTTTATTTAGAGGAGACTACAAGCGAATCCGGATCTCAGCGTTTGCAGATGAGAACAGCTCTCAGGTAAACAATAATCCTCCTTAGACACGTAAGTTATTGTTGTCGAGCGTCGCGTACACTGTTAATCCACACGTGACTCTGAGCTCTCACAGAGAGAAAATGAAAACGAAACTTAACTGCAGCAAACTATAAAAGCAACACTTCACGCTTGTTTTGCCAACACAACGTGGCGTCTCTGTCGTCTACACACTGTGACAGTAATGAATATTAATGAAGTTACACAGTAGAGCGCGCTGATTGGTTTGAACCAAGCCTTACTCATGCATTAATGCAAAACACTGTAAGACGTAATAAGACTCACTCTGGCACAGACGTCCAGTCTGCACGCTGGAATACACGCTATTATGTCATGACCGTGACGCAGCTTCAAAAAAACCGGAAGTACGAATTAGCTTGAAATAACGCAAAAACAACCAATTTACACTTTAGTGAAATATAGGTGTCCTAATAGTGTTTTTAGCAGTGTGGGACACATATAAGACTGTCAACAGCTCAAAAAATGTGTTTTGGTGTTTCGTGACCCTTTAACAAAGAGGAAGTAGTGCGACTCGCACTTTCCACACATTATTGACACAAAGTAAACAACTCCATAAATAATAAAGGTCACCACAGATGCTGTTATTCTGCTTAGCAGAGACACAGGAGATCTTGGGTTCTGTTGTACAGTGAAAGACTGTCCCAGCAAACTCAAAACTAGACAAATTTGCCTAGATGTCGGCGTTTAAAGTAGTTGGAGCTTTTTTAAGCTTGGTTTATACTTCTGCGTCAAGTGACCGGCGTAACCCACGGCGCATGCAACGCGCGTGGCTGTGTGTTTATACTTCTGCGCGCTGTCTCTGTTGGTCTGCATTAACACTTCTGAAACGCTAGTTGGCAGTGAGGTGTAAATGTTCCTCTGAGTCGAGTTTCTTCGCTGCTGTGTTGCTTTTCCTGAACACTTCCTGGATGTACAAGTGGCTCAAACTCGCTCATTTTGAGGCAGGAACCGGCGGACGTGCAACAACTTTAACTATGAGGTAAACACAAAACAAAACTTTCCATCCGGAGCTCCTTCACGGGACTCCACACTTGTAAACAATCGCTCCATCAGGCTCGCACCATTCACGCGGCTAGACTCGTCAGCACTACCAAGCCGACCAATCACAGAGCTTGCGCTACGCATCGTTGCGACGTGTAGTTACATTTTTTCGTCAGTGACGCTGACGGCCACGGCGAAGGGCTATACGTCAGCGCCGTAGCATACGCGTGCGTTTGACGCAGAAGTATAAATCAGCCTTAACTCCTAAGCATTTACAGTTTGCACATGAATTTTAGTAATTATTTCACTTCTTTCCAAAGTTTTTCCAAAGAAACTGTTAAAAACTAACCTCTTAACATGAACTTATTTACTTAAATTTCAGATGTGATGGTGGAGGGGAGCGAAGATGAGGAGAAACGGCATGTCAGAAGTAAAAAAAAAACTTTCGCCTGCACTCAGTGTGGAAAGAGTTTTAGGCGCAATTACTATCTCATTCTTCACATGAAGATCCACACTGGAGAGAGACTTTTCAAGTGTTCACACTGCGACAAAACATTCAAACGTTCAGGACTTCTCAAAGTACATGAGAGGACTCACACTGGGGAGAAACCTTACCAGTGTTCACACTGCGACAAGAGATTCAGTGATGCAAGATACATGAAACTACATGAGAGGACTCACACTGGAGAGAAACCTCACCAGTGTTCACATTGCGACAAGAGGTTCAGCTGTTCAAGAAACCTGAAATCACACTTGAGGACTCACACTGGAGAGAAACCGTATCACTGCACTGAATGTGGGAAGAGTTTCACATGTTCATCTTCTGTACGAAAACACACAATAAACTTTCACAGTAAGTAGATGATCTAAAGATCCAGGTTGTATTATTTAGGATAATTGCGGAGTTGATAGAATGTATACAATGATAAATTATACATGTTTGATGTGGTTTTGAGATTGACATCATCCTCTTAAACCATTTAGGCCAGGGGTCTCAAACTCGCGGCCTTGCAATATTTTGTGGCCCGCGCCGACCGCTGTACACTGACAGAATGTCAGAGAGAGCGCTCCCCGCTCCGCTGATTCTATCCGTTCACAGCGGTCACTGGCATTCCCCGCCCGCCGTGTAAACAAAGGGGCGGGGGTGCCGGTAACGTCACCACGCACCCCACCCCTTTGTTAGACGCTGTGACGGGAGGGAAGTGGAACCTAAAGGGGAACTTAAAGGGAACTCGCGCCGGCCAGAACCAAGGTAAGCTGTTCCCGCCCCTGCCTGCCACTTAGCTACCTATCTGCAGCCTGCCACCTACCTAGCTACAGCCTGCATCTTATATATATTATAGGTAGATACAGACTGATGTGACTGGAGTGGGGTGGGGGTGTTTTATTTATACATATATACGCCTTTTTTTAGGTGAGGGAATGGAAGTTTTGAGTGAGTTCCCCCACTTTTTTCCCTAGGACTTCAATAAGTCAAAGTACAGGTCTAGACTTAATGGTGATCATCTTCAAGCCATACTGAGGGTCTCAACTGCTTCCGCTCTAAAGCCAAATGTGGTTCAGATTTGTGAGAAGAAGCGCTGTCAAGTCTCTGGCAGCAAGATGTAGGCAAAAGATGCCATGTTCAGAAAAACTGTTCATAATCTTCACTCAATGTTCTGTTAATGTTCAGGACACTTCATGTTCAGAAGAAATAATTAAAACTGTTAATAATGACATTTGAGGACTTTTTGTGTGTGAAATCCCTTATGCGGCCCAGCCTCACCCAGACTTTGCCTCCTGCGGCCCCCAGATAAATTGAGTTTGAGACCCCTGATTTAGGCTGTTCACATATTACATCTTTCGCAAAGGCAAGTTCATTTATTATTTGTTTAATTTTCAGATGTAAATGAGAAGAGTGAAGAGGAGAAACATCAAGTAAAACCTTTCACCTGCACTCGGTGTGGAAAGAGTTTTAGGCGCAACTACCATCTCATTCTTCATATGAGGATCCACACTGGAGAGAAACCTTACCAGTGTTCACACTGTGAGAAGAGATTCAGGTATTCAAGAACCATGAAAATACACGAGAGGGCTCACACTGGAGAGAAACCTTACAAGTGTTCACACTGCGAGAAGACGTTCAGGGCTTTAAATACCATGAAAAAACATGAGAGGGCTCACAATGGAGAGAAACCTTACCAGTGTTCACACTGCCACAAGAGATTCAATGATACAAGTCAACTGAATATACATAAAAGGATTCACATCGGAGAGAAACCGTATCACTGCACTGCTTGTGGGAAGAGTTTCACATATTCAGCTTCACTACAACAACACACAATAAACATTCACAGTAAGTAGAGCATCTAAAGATTCAGCCCTTTCAGGTCAAGGTATTTAGGATTATTGTGATAATGCCTATCTGAAGGGGACCTATGATGGGGGTTCATGTCTTCTATTAGTGTAATCTGAAAGATTAAGAAATAAAGACATGATTATTTATGATTCTAAAATTAGCAGTTAAAACAACTGAAAGCTGGAATGACAGTTCATAAGGTGTGTTATATATTTTTTTGTCAAATGTTACATAGTAGAGCTACACGATATTGGAAAAATATGACAATATTTAGTTTTTCTGTGATTATATAGTGCAATATGAATACAGTTTTTAGACTTACCGTTGAGGAGCCAACCACATTCAGCTAGTAATTCAGTGACTGTGGCAGTGGGACATAATCATACACCTGGCGCAGTGTGGCGCAAGGCGCAATAGTCTCTTGGTAGTTTCAGCTTGGCGCAAGAGTCGTTTTGAGGCGTTGCGCTGCGCTGTTTAAATAGCAAATGCATTAGCGCTCATTTGTGCGCCCATAGGCGTTCTGGTCTAAAAAGGAAGGCGTTCTGAGGCGCTGGCGCGTTGCTATTTTGAGAAACTATAATAGATTTTTCATTAGACCAAAACTAACCCGGTCTAAACTCTGGCGCAGAGTTGCGCCTCGCTTACACACTGCTTAATACACACAAGAGAGCAATAGGCAAATATCTTTACATATGAAAAAATGTAAATATTAAGGATATATATAGGATTTAATAAGAATAGATATAGAATATAAATATAAAGGATTAAAATATTACAAAACATATTATTTTCTAGCCGACATAAATATGAAAAATCACTGCTTTTATGTCTTCTTCATCTCGGGAGGCTTTTTCAGTTCATTCATAACAATTTGCTTTTGTGTAATGTTATTATTATTAGCAGTATTATTTATTATATCCAGATGTATATGTTTTATTAAAAACAAGCTTAGATTTGCCCACCTGTCAGGTTTAAGACCATATGGGGCACAGCATGTGTTTTAGGATATAACTCAGGTTTTTGAGCACACTTTGTTATTATTGTTCATTTATTCGTTTGCTGGAAATAAGAACTGAATTTAGAAATAGTTTTGAAATGAATATTTGCGCTTAACAAACAAAATTATTTATTTATAGACTAACTGATGTCTGTGCGTAAAGGTTTCCTTATCCAAGAGCGAAAGTGAAAGTGATCCATTATCTCTCATTCTCATGCAGTACATGCTCTGTTTAACAGTTTTCTGTAAAAAACAAAAACAAACTGTTAACTGTGAAATGCTCAGTTTTTCCACTTAGACTTACTTTATGTCCTGTAAATAGCGAATGTGCTTATGGTGCGACGCAGCTGGCTCTTAAAGGGAATGGGAGATGAGACTCTAATTGGTTTATTCTCAAAACACACCTATAACTTATTAAGAAAATAAACTCAACCCTTTTAGACCATGCGCCACGGCGCAAGGCAGATTTTCCGGTCCGTAAATTAGCAAAAATTCGTCCTGACACGCCCTGAAAGCGTTTGCGCCCTGCGTTTTGCGCTCTGCGCATGGACCGTCAAAATAGAGCCCAATGTCTCCATTCCCTCAGACAGAAAACGAGGATTACGACAGTAACTGAGATGTTCTCTTTCAGGTCGCAACACATTACAAAACGTTGTAAAACGTTAAGTGGTAATGTATGGAACGCAACAAAGTTGCTGAATCTGTTACGTGTAACCTTCCAACGTCTGCTAACGCTTTAAATCAACAGGAACTACAATTAACAAGAGAGTCGTAAGTACTTTAAAACAAGTGCAAAGCTCATTTTTTTGAAATGCTGACTAAGCATATGGCATCACTGAGTGGTGATGTGCGTAGCAGGCACCGATCCCCAAAATGTGGGTTGACCAACTGGGCATACCAGACAACCAAACGGGTCAAGCATCCGGCTCCTCCAGTGCCAAGTTGAATGTTAGGGGCCTTGAAGGAATTCTGTAGGGTTCACCAGATGGGGGAATATACTAGCAGAGTTGAAAAAGCTTATGCATCTCAGAGTAGGAAGAATGGAGCAGCAAGCATTTTCAACACAGAGCCTGGCCTTCTCCTGACTGGCACTGCCCAGCAATCGGGAGAAAATCAGCTTCACATGGAGATTAGAAAACCTCTCAAATGCTACGCTGCAGCCTACGCGTTGACGCATAGCCCTACGCCGTGGCCGTCTGCGTCGCTGACGTGCACCTCTCAACAAATGTAACTACACGTCGCAACGACGCGTAGAGCAAGCTCTGTGATTGGTCGGCTTGGTAGCGCTGACGAGTCTGGGCGGGACCGCAAGCCTGATGGAGCGATTGTTTACAAGTGTGGAGTCTCGTGAAGGAGCTCCGGATGGAAAGTTTTGTTTTGTGTTTACCTCATAGTTAAAGTTGTTGCACGTCCGCCGGTTCCTGCCTCAAAATGAGCGAGTTTGAGCCACTTGTACATCCAGGAAGTGTTCAGAAAAAAGAAAACAGCAGCGAAGAAACTCGACACAGAGGAACATTTACACCTCACTGCCAACTAGCGTTTCTGAAGTGTTAATGCAGACCAACAGAGACAGCAGCAGAAGTATAAATGCACAGCTACGCGCGTTGCCTGCGCCGGGGTTTACGCCGGTCACTTGACGCAGAAGTATAAACCAAGCTTCAGGAGCTAGACTCTGAGACACATCGATCTCACAAGATCTCGTCACACTCCTAGTGTAAACTTTTTCAACTCTTTGAAAAAAGAGTTTTTTTTATACACAGTAGGGTTGTCAAGAGACCATATCGATAAATAATTGACCATTAATGACAATAAATTGATCATTGATTTAATCATTTTCCATCCATAACTTGCATTGCTCTCCTAAAATTGTTCTCTTTACTTAATTTTCAGACCTGATGGTAACTAAAGAGGATAGTGGAAAAGCCAGTCATAGCATCAATACTAAGGAGAAGACACATCTGTGTTCTGTGTGCGGAAAGAGTTTTGCACATCGTTCGTATTTAATTGCACATCAGAAGATCCACTCTGGAGAGAAACCATTCACATGCACTCAGTGTGGGAGGAGTTTCAGATATTCATCACAACTGAATGAACACATGATGACCCACACTGGAGAGAAGCCACACGAGTGTGATCAATGCGGAAAAAGATTTTTGAAGGCTTCAAACCTGAAGGTCCATTTTGGAGTTCATACAAAGGAGAAGCCTTATCCGTGTCCTGTGTGTGGAAAAACGTTTGCACGTCCGTCACTTGTAAAAGAACATGAGCAGATCCACATTGGTGTTAAAAAGTATCAGTGTCTCGTGTGTGAGAGGAGTTTTCTTAGACCTGGAGAACTGAAACGGCACCAGAAGATTCACACCGGAGAGAGACCGCACAAATGTGATCAATGCGGCAGAGCGTTTTCAAGGTCTGCACAACTAAAGAAGCATCTGAACATTCATGGAAAGGAGACACAATCAGTTCCTTGATAGTAAAGAGTTTTACACTTTAATGAAATTAATCTTTCTGAAAACTACTCTGTATTCATCAACGTCCGATTTGATAGTCAGCTGTTAGTATGTTAATAAACCCCAATCTTTTCTAAATAGGACACACTTTATCACAATCAGCACTTCACACTCGGTTTTCACCATACAGGGCAGACTGCAAACATTGTTGTGCCATTCATCCAGGAACATCAGCTCATGCAGCATGATAATGCACGGCGACATGATGAAGGATCTGTACACAATTCCTGGAAGCTGTAAACATTCCAGTTCCTCTGTGGCCAGCTATATTCACCTGACATGTACTGAGCATGTTTCGGCGTATACGACAGCGTGTTCCTGTTCCAGCCAATATCCAGCAACCTCACGCATCCACTGAAGAGGAGTCGATCAACATTTCACAGTCCGCAATAAGTGAAGTTTATTCATAAACTAATTTCGAGAGGATCACGTGCTGATGATTTATCACGGCTGGTCTCGAATTTGCTAATCAGTATCCTCCAATCATTCGAGACCCAAGCTACTATAAATAACCACAGTTTTCAATTCGCTTTATCTTCGTTTGGAAGAAACCCCCCTCCTCCCCTTTTCCTTCTCTTTTACCTCCAACTGGGCGACACGGCGGCCCAGTGGTTAGCACTGCGAGCCCCACAGCAAGAACACCGCCAGCCCTGGCCCCCTAGGACCGGTGGATGTTTCTGTGAGGAGTTTGTATGTTCTCCCCGTGTCCGCGTGGGTTTTCCCCGGGTGCTCCGGTTTCCTCCCACCATCCAAAGACATTCAACATACATAAAAACCAAGCATTTATCTAACCCTTGTGTTCCCTTAGCTACAGCAGCGGGGGAGTTCTGAGATCCACCGAGCTCGGACTCCTCTCACGCTCCGCCAAACGGGAGGAAGCCCCGGACTCGAGGAGTCCTTGAGCTCGGGGCTCTCTCCCGGAACAGCATGCCAAACAAGCTTTTATAAATCATCAGCTAAGTGTGAACTCTTGAAACAACCTCGATTGACTGTTTGTCACATATTGAGCATGTTTTGAGCGCGTTCCAGTTCCAGCCAATATCCAGCAACCTCACGCATCCAACTCCTGGAAGACAAAAACCTTCCAGTTCTTGCATAGCCAGCATACTCACTGGACATGTCACATATTGAGCATGTTTCGGCGTATACGACAGCATGTTCCAGTTCCAGCCAATATCCAGCAACCTCACGCATCCACTGAGGAGAAGTCGACCAAGATTTTACAGTCCGCAATAAACAACCTGATCGAATCTATTTGAAGGTGACTCTGTGCTCAAAACAGATACTGACTGGCCACACCTGCCAGGTGTATGGATTATCTCGGCAAGCTTATGAAAAATGGGGGCAAAATCAAAAGTGCTGCCTTCGTTTTATTGTGGTTGATCATAATTATGCAAAATACAGTGGTTATACAGTGGTTTGGCTGTCAGAACCAGCAAAGCCTGAAGATAAAGTTGGTTTTATATACACACATTTGTTCAGTGACATCTTGTGACATGCTCCCTATATTGTTACCATAGTACTTTGAATATTGGATTGAAATGACATGTATTCGTGACTTGAAATCAACATTAGCTCTATTTATTTGACTGTGAACAATGTTGTACTTTGATAGACGTTGGTTGCAAAGAATGCTTTTGTGAAATTGTATTAAGGAGAAAGTCTGAATGTGTTAAGATAAAACTAAATATACTTCATTCAGCAAAGCGTTCTCTGCTAGGCCTAAAAACAGATCAAACATCAGAGTCACTTATTTATGTTATTTATTTATTTTTATGTTTATTTCTTATAGCCTGTTCTCTTTATTTCATAGCTTTGCTGTTGGTTGCATTGCTTCTAGTAATTTCAAATTTCAGCAGTCGTGTTTCCAGCATTACAAAATTCTCCCTGGAGCCTTTAAGGCTGATTTATACTTCTGCGTCAAACACCGGCGTATGCTACGGCGCTGACGCATAGCCCTTCGCCGTGGCCGTCACCGTCACTGACGTGCACCTCTCAAAAAATGTAACTACACGTCGCAACAACGCGTAGCGCAAGCTCTGTGATTGGTCTGCTTGGTAGCACTGACGAGTCTGGGCGGGACAGAGAGCCGCGCGAATGGCGCGAGCGATTGTTTACAAGTGTGGAGTCCCATTAAGGAGCTCCGGATGGAAAGTTTTGTTTTGTGTTTACCTCATAGTTAAAGTTGTTGCACGTCCGCCGGTTCCTGCCTCAAAATGAGCGAGTTTGAGCCACTTGTACATCCCGGAAGTGTTCAGGAAACGCAAAAAAGCAGAGAAGAAACTCGACACAGAGAAAGATTCACACCTCACTGCCAACTAGCGTTTCGGAAGTGTTAATGCAGACCAACAGAGACAGCGCGCAGAAGTATAAATGCACAGCTACGCGCGTTGCCTGCGCCGTGGGTTACGCCGGTCACTTGTAACGTGTAGTTACATTTTTTGAGAGGTGCACGTCAGTGACGGCGATGGCCATGGCGAAGGGCTATGCGTCAGCGCCGTAGCATACGCCGGCGTTTGACGCAGAAGTATAAATCAGCCTTCAGTATGAATATTAACCAAGTCAAACTGTAATAACCAGGCTTTTTCTTTAACTGAGGCACTTCTGCTCCAACATAACCCATGTGTTCTTTATAGTAACTGTGTTGTTTTAGTGTATTGACCATGGTTTTACTAGAGTTAACATGGTTAGTAAGTGCAAAGCTAGATTAATTTAGGATTACCATAGTTAACCTCAAACTAACCATAGCTTAGTCTCTGCATTTTGCGTGTTAGATGCTTCAGTAATTGCTCTGTTAGACTTTATTTTTGAGTAGTATTTATGGATTGTATTGCTGTAGTGTCATTATGATGTTATTAATTAATTTAGGACACCGCTGAAGGCCTATGAGTGAGATGCATGCCCCGTCACTGGCAAACGAACACAAAACAAAGCTTGATTTTTGCATGCTGTTGAATTCTGTTAATGCACAGGTGTCAAACTCAGTTCTAAAAGGGCCGCAGCTCTGCACAGTTTAGTTCCAACCCTAATTAAACACACCTGATCAAACTAATCGAGTCCTACAGGTAAGTGTGTTGGAGCAGGGTTGGAACTAAACTGTGCAGGGCTTCGGCCCTCCAGGAATTGAGTTTGTCACCCCTGTAATGCATATCCATCACCTGTAATGCTGTTAATCTTTCATCAAGAAGGTTTTCAATCAGCAAAGCCTTCTCTGCTAGGCCTAAAATCAGACCAAACATAAGAGTTACTTATTTAATTTAATTAGATATTTATTTTTTCCATATAATATTTATTTCCTTTAGTCTGTTCTGTTTATTTCATAGATTCACTCTTTTTTTTTTTTGAACAACTTGATTATTTGGATCAGCTGTGTTTAATTAGGGTTGCAGCAAAACTGGAGCTGCGGCCTTTCAGGAATTGAGTTTGAGACCCATGCTGTAGACATGACGTCGCCAATCTCCTTCCTGGAGGGCTGGTTTCTCTGCAGGGTTTATCTCTTATATCTCCCAGAATGCAATGCAATTGTGACATCACAGCATTGTAGTGCTCAGGGGTTTAAGGCAGGGGTGTCCAAACTCGGCCTTGGAGGGCAGGGGTCCTGCATAGTTTAGCTCCAACTTAATTCAACACACTTACCTGGAAGTTTTAGTATAGCTAGAAAGAGCTTGATTAGCTGATTCGTTTAATTGGGGTTTGAACTGAAATATGCAGGGCACTGGACCTCCAGGACCGAGTTTGGGTACACTTGGTTTAAGGCATTCAATTTAAACCCTTTCAGATGCTGCGCCAGTAGTGGACACTAATGTAATAGATGACGTACATCCGAGTCAACTAGATGAAGGGACTACAGTGTGTTGACATCATTCATGATGGTGTAATGCAGGGGCGATTTTAGGATTTTCATTTTAGGGGGGCTCCTTCGTGAGATACAGGTGATACAAGTGATCTATATCAAAGAAATGCAAATAAGCAGATATTCTAACAATTTATTGACAAACACACACCTCGATCTCTCGCTGTCCACGGCTGTGGTTTCCTGATCAAATGAAAAACAAAAGACTGGGAGGAGGCAAATTCTGCCACCGTTTTCATATCAAATTTAGGGGACTGAGGTGATAATTTAGTGCAGTTTATGAGCAATTGCAAAGTTTTAGGGGGGCTACAGCTCACCTAAAGTAGACCTAGCAACGCCCATGGTGTAATGACCATTGTTCTAGGCTGACCAAACATATCACAAATATATAGTCAGAAGTCATAATTCAGTCCGTTAAAACATCACCATCGTCTCACAGGATTCTTACAATTAAGTTCTGCAACCCAAACGAAGCAAGTCTTGAGATTACCCGTTGCTCATTTCATTAGAACTGAATCAGTTGTCTAAGTTTGGTTCAGACGGTGCTGTAATGTGTCAGTCAGAAAGATAAACTTTACACATTTAAGAAAAAAAAAGTTATTTAAACTTTTGTTATTTCTAAAACTATTCCAACATCACATGTTTTTATTTAATTAGCCTTTTGGTAGGCTAGTCATTTTTTTAATGTTACGGTTTACTAATCATCTTGTAATATTTTGTAAAAACGTTTGTTTACTGATGTTACATAAAGAAAAGACCATTTTATATTGTTTATATATCTTTCAGCCATGAAGGATTACGTTTGCTTTTTAATTATTGCTCCTTAGCTTTTAAAGTGCCTAATAAACAGTATTTTCACCCACTGATCTATATATGATGTTCTCTATTATAGGACAGTAATTTCACCTCACGCTTTTTCTCTGTATTTAGCCATTGTTTTTGTTTTGTTATTTGGCGCGTTTATGAATATCTTCCCGCCTTGCGGCGATGACGTCAGCACTGACGCGTTCATTCAGCGTCGAGTCTTCAGAGCTGAGGTGAGTCGTTGACGCTTTTTCTCGTGTTTACACAACAATAAAACACACTTTACAGTTTATTAAAGCGACAATCTGCGACTAGTTTCTGCATTGAGTTCACCTCTATCTGTGTGTCTGCTGACCAAAACAGTACAGCAGGCAGAGAGGAGCTCTGAGGGGACAATATGAGCTCAGTGTTTGTGTGTTTCTGTTAGTGTGTTCGTTTTTAAAGATTGGAGAATCGCAAAATATGAACTATGAATGTAAGAGGAATGTTGCTTAGCAGATATTTGAAGTTTTACACAAAAAAGCAACAACATTGCTTTGTGGTTCTCATTAGGTTTTTATGATTTGTCTATTTACATACCACATGGATGTGTTAGCAATCAAAATGTTGTATTGTGTGAATATTAGGTATTTAAACTATAGATTTCTAAAAAAGTAGTTGCTTAAACTACATTATTTATGCTGCAAACAGAATAAAATGAGCTGATCTGCTGCTGTTTAATGTGTTGGGCATCCGCTGTGTAAAACATATGCTGACTAGTTGGCGGTTCCTTCTGCTGTGCATCCCCTGATAAATAAAAAGACTTAATAAAAAATGAATTAATGATTAATATTAACCTCATATAATAAGACTTGTGGACACAATGTTTTCAGCACCGCCACAAGGAGATCATTCTCAATGTTTAGTTGTGGCCTGTATTTATTTTTATTGTACTTGATTGCCATAAAAGTGTCAGAAAGTTTAACCCGGTGCTATAAAATCAATCTGAATTAAGCATTAACAACTTATATTGAATATATATCGTAAAAGTTCAATATAAAAAATAATTATCGAGATTGCATTGTTGCCATATCGCCCAGCCCTCTGTAAGCACACCAATTCCATGAGAAAATTGAAGACTGGTGGCTTTTTATTTGCATGTTTACGTAACTATTCCTACTATTTTCATCTTCTGTGGGTTATGGATAAAATATGCTAATTCTAATAGATTAAGCAGATTTATTTGACTTTTGGAAATCACAGAGCGACCCCGTCTTGGTCTCGACCCTCACTTTGGGAACCACTGATCTACAATATAATAATGATTTATTAAATTAAGAGTAAATTATTCAGATTTTTCTGTTTACTTTATTGCAGCTTGTCCTCCTTCAGTTCAACTGTAAATGCTGGAATATTCCCATCAGTCTACAAGTGAAGACGAGCATCAGACCATCAGGAAGAAGAGAAATCTGCAAAGACAGAGTTTATTGAAGGACAGTGAGAAGATGAGTGATCCAGAACCCTGCAGAATTAAACAGGAAGACACTGAAGAACTAATAGGTTTGTGTTTATTCATTACTCTTCAATAATGAGGCTGAACAACACTAAGGTTGTGAATCTTTACATTTTCACTCATTTTAGGGTTTTTTCATATTATTTTTTATGCACTGCATCCTTCATTTTTCTTCATGTTTGCAATTTTGTTTTAATTTAATGTCAGAAATATGAACTGAATTGAGCCTTTAATTTTGCTAAAAACACTTTTGACTGCATCAAACAATAATAATAATGAGCACATGTTCAGCGCTGTGTTCTGCTGGAGAGATGGAGTTTCACAGTGAGCTTTTAGCAGGGTTCTGCTTCTGTTGTACCTTCAGTGTCAGTGAAAGACAAAACTCACAAGCAGACAAATGTGCCCAGATGAGGCTTTTCAAATATGAGGAGCATTTTTAACCTCTTGCACATCGATCTCGCCTCCCTCACTTCACTATTTTTTTTCACTGTTGATCTCTGCTGGAGCGCCACCTGCTGTTTACAGACTTAATAACTCGCCTCCTAAAATGAACTTATT